GGTGGAGGCCCCATCCCTGGGAACATTCCAGGCCAGGTTGGCCAGGGCTGTGAGCAACCTGATGTGGTTCAAGGTGTCCCTGCTCCCTGCAGGGGGGTTGGGCTGGGTGACCTCTAGGGGTCCCTTCCCACCCAAAACATTCTGTGATTCTACGAAAAGAGAGCTCCTGTGTTATGACCCCAGTGGAAAGGCATTAACTAGCAGAGCTTTGCCCATGTTTGATGTCAGGACGACGTGAGGCATCAGCATCCTCAAGATCAGAATGGAGGAGAGATGCACATTGGGACTAAGGCCATAGCCGATGACCCAGCAGGGAATCTGCTGCCTCTCTACCTTGCTAATATACACTGAATATTCAATCAAACCTCGCTATCAAGTTGCTGGTTTATATTCCCAGTTGTTTCAGATTCGGAGACAGATGACAGTTGTCCTTTTGGTGTAAATAGCTCCCTCAGGAATTAATTTTTTTTCCCTTAGCATTTGTGAACTGTCTGAGGTTCTGTATCCTGGAATACCCTTAATGTGCCACCTTCTACCAGCTAAATGTGGTCCCTGTCATTCGGTGCTAATTGTGTCAGAAGGGTCACTTAATGAGTCATTATCAGAACCTGGCCTTGCAGGTATCGTAAAGTGTTTGCTGTTAACAAGTCTTGAACTCATAAATATCCCCTGGGGACAGCAAGCGTTAAAACATCCTTAATCGCCCACTCTGCAAATGTTTGATTTTTAACAGATTAAGGTATTGTCAAGTTTACTACATTAACGAAGTCGCCTGCCTTTTGCAGTACCACCACGTGATAGGGCCAACTAGATTCACAGTATCTCTCAAGAACCTAATTTCCTTCTGCTCACCCAACATGGCCTCCAAAGCCTTAATGCAGGTGACACCCACCTGCGGCCAGATCACCTCGTGTGCTGTTTGCTCCAGTGTGAGATGGTTTGAGATGGGGGGGAGGGTTTGTGAAGTGATCCTGGTTTAATTTAGGAGAAGCGAGCACTTAGGTTGGTGTGGCCTGTGTAGCCCCAGAAGATGCAAAAGCACCATGTGCAGGACTTGGGATCTTTTGTGGATGAACTTGTTAATGACCTACTAGGAAGGAACCTAGACCAGTGAGGGAGAGGGAGACCAGTGGGTCTGGGTGTCTGTTCTGGTGATGGCATGCGCTCACCTGGTCTATGAAATGGTCTAACGAAGCCTTTCCTTTCCAGAACATCACTTCTGAGATCCCGTCCCCGGATGATTCTCCCAGTCCAAAGCCTTGTGTGCCTCGCTGCCTTTGGCCTGGCCCTCCCCTTGGCCATCAGCCTCTTCCCGCAGATGTCCGAGGTCAGTACGTGTCTGGTCACTGCAGGGGGATATCTCAGAGGGGCTTACCAATACCGCTGCTTGTTTTGCCTTGCTGGATAATAGTCTCATTCCTATGGGGCCTTCTCCATTTTTGGATGAGGTCGATTGCTGTCTTCTTCACTTGAACAAGTGCAGATTCAGATGATGGTTATGTTTGTCCCTCCTGTTAGCATGTGCTAGCATAGATTAATATCACACGGCTTTCCTATGCTTTTAACCGGTGTTTGGATCATGTGGTGGGATGTACCTTCCAAGCAAGCAGAGGAAGAACTGAACAGAGGAACCTTTGGTCCCCCCAGCAAATGCACCTTTTATGGGCAAGGGATGGTCATGTGTGATCCTCCTCCCTTCCATCGCATCCGTTGTTCTCCCACAGGGGTGGTCTGCTCTAAACCTCTCCCAGGTGGAGGACATTTAGGCTGTGTAATAATTGAAACACTGGGGATCAGGGGGACAAGCAGGGTGGAATAAGACATTTTTTTTAAATGTATGGAGGATAATGTTCTGCCAGTTAGAGGACTGTCTCAGCTAGCACGGAGGGTATCTGGTCCCTCTTTATAGTGATACCCAGGTCAGATCTGGTCAGATCACAAGTCCAGGGATGTTGGTGTTTCAGACTGATGACTTCTGCTCTGAGACTTCAGCTGGGTTCATCCTGTCTTGTCTGGGGACGTGAGCTGAGTCAGAGCTGAGCTGCACCAGGAAGAACATGGTTCAGCTCACCCTCTCCCATGACCATGGTGTTTCCTTGGTGTTAACACAGCGAAAACAAGTCTTTGTCAATTAAGCAAAGAGCCTGGGATATACACTCGACGTGGATGTACTTCCCAGAGCTTCTTTGAGAGTTTCTGCCTTTTCATCATCTAGCCTGGCTCTGGAGAAGACACAGCCTGGGGGTGAAGAGCAGAGAAGTAGCCAAGGAAAGAGGCAGAATGACTAATGAAACTACTCATACCTAAGTTAGTTGAACAAATTGCTCAGGTGTATTTTTTTGCAAGTCATTAATTTTGATCATTTGGTGTTTGGAGCTTATAGATTGGCAGACTGTAAGTTTGTACATTTAAGGGAGGGTCTCTATTATAAGGTGGTAAAGCTTCTATCAAACAGAGTAAAGGACTTCGCTGAAGTTCTTTTTGCGTCAACTAGAACGGTTGATCAGAAATTGGTATCACTGTCTCTATTGGTTAATTCATTTTTTTAGGTCTGGATGGGTTTATCCAGGACTTCTAGCCAGGGAATCTTGTTGTACACTTGTCTGCTAGACTGAAAAACGTGTTACAATTTTTTTGTTCTCCTTCTAGCTGTTTAGGGGCTGAGATAAAACCATCCCTTAATCTTCTCTTTAAGAAACTGAATATATCTCAATCTTGGAGTCTCTTGCTAAAAGACGTGCTTTCTGAAGCTCTAATGATTCATATGGCTCTTCCTTAAACTTTTTCTAATTAGTCAACATCCTTTTTGGAGCACTTCCATAAGAACCAGACACAGTATTCCAGTAAGAAGTTGCACAAGTACCAGTTGCAGGAGCAATGTGATTTGCCTGCTTCTACTTGAATTCATACATCCACGGAGCACGTTAGTCATTTTGGCATGGGCTCAACCTCAGCTCCTTGTCCATCAGTTTTTTGCTGTGATCCCAAGTTGCGCTCAGAGGTTTTGGTTATGAAACACTGAGGAGTATGTCCAGGTCTTGCACCCATTCAAGGTACATGCCCAGAGTATGTCCAAAGTTCTGGTTGGAGGGAGACTTGGACATAGAGCATCCCTTATGCTCCTACTTCCAGGGAAAGGAGCTTCACCCACCAGAAGGCAGCCGTGGCCTTTCCTTGGAGGTCTTTCAAGATAATCAGGGAAGCAAGGCCACGAGAGGTACCACCAACCTCATTTAGCCCAAAGGTGACATTGCCACCCTTCTCCCAAAGTGGTGGCCCATGCTGTAGGTACACTATTTGCGTCTAGAGGCAATTTTATGTCTGACCATAGTACATTGCACATTGACTTTTTATCCACATATCTAGAGGCCTCTGTATCAATGACCCGGGCCCTCAGTTATTTACCACTTTCCCCAATTCTCTGTCATCTCAAGCTTTAAGTGGCAATCATTGTGTATTTTCTCCCTTCTCACTGACGACGCACACGTTTAATAGCGTCGGCCAAACCAAACCGTTCTTTCAACACAGACAGGAAACTCACCCTACAATTCCGTTTTTAAATTTAGCATTTTGTACATTTCCAGTATTTTCTGTAGGCATCGCTTAGCATGGGCTCCTCTGAAATAGTAAGCGCCTACTAAGGTCAGCGGGAACTAAAATTTTGGTATCAGAATCTGAGGCATTCAGAGTTAAACACTGTGGGCTCTACAGAAATAATTATTCATTGCCTTGGTTTCTTCATCTAAAAATGAAGCTCACGAGGTCTTTTTGCCTTTTGTATTATAGCTTTATGGGTGACGTAATTTATAATGTATAGTAGCTGATATTGCAGCTCGAGAAATTGCATTGATGCTAACAGCTGAATGAATTCTAGCCCACAAGGAAAATTAAGGTCTGGCTTCCTTCAAGGGATATGCAAATTGCAGGCATCAGGCAATACTGAAACCATACAGCATCGCTAGAAAATGACCTTCTACAAGCAAATGAAATGTTATCTGCAGTGTAAACATGAATCAGTGCTGATTAGTAGATCAAACAGAATGACGTGCTCCCTGCCCACACTTCATGTCAACGAAGAGAAACCATTACAGCTGGTGGTGGAGCTCATTACCTGCTGAGGTCTCAGCTGGAGTTAGCTCCATGAGCACAGCTAAACCTCACATCTGTTGACATCGAGGTATCAAGTTCTCCACAGCAGCCTGGTCTGATCGGTCTTCCAGTTGCGTTTGCCTTCATTATAAATACATGGGAGCGTGTGTGTAAAGGGCGTTCCTCCCATTCTGCAAAATCTCATTGAGACCTTCTCAGTGAGCACTGACTGCGGGGATGCTCGTGTGAGCAGAGCAAGGGATTTATCTGAAACAATCTCTCTAGAGCCATTTCTTCACAGTCTTGGAGAGGAAATCTGAGTTGCCTTGCAAAGAGCACTTTGCACAATGTGTCACTTCTTGGCCACTCATCACGGTCCATGACCTTGTCAGCTAAGTTAATAGACTTTTGGTGTTTGAACGTTGGCCTCTATAGCTATGTGCATGTGTCTATATGTGGCATGTGTGTATTTGCTTTTTCTCATAACCGCAGTAGGTGAAGCTATGAACATCACCCGACTGAGATGATGCTGTTGTAATGAGCACTACCCAGGGAGTAAATTATTAACAACAAGATGTAATAGGCGTGTTCTGTTCCAAAAATATGATTATGGTCTGAGCAGCAACCCTTTCAGGAATTGTAAATGAGCCAAATTCTGCCCTTAATCACACATTCACAGTCCTTTTTCTTTAGTCAGGGAGCAAACACAGAAGCTGAAGTGTTATTAAGCGCTTGTTTTAGCATGGGAGCTTGACTGGCCGCCTTTGATCCACTCTCCTAAAGGGGCTCAAACTTACAATTAGTTTTCAAGTGGAATTGAAGCCTTGCAATAGATTTAATAAATGAGCTGGATAAATGCAGCCACCTTATCACATCAGCTGTGGCTGCTTCAGAGTTATACCTGCTTTAAAGTAAGATAAGAGGAATCAGAGTTCAGCTCTGGTTGCATACAGGAACACCGATATCAATGAAATGAAAATTCTGGAGCTGAACAACCTTCATGTGCTGGGAAGGCTAATGCATCCAGGTCTTCTCTTTGGTTGGCATTTAGTCTAGCTAAGACCTCATACCTTCGTTGACTTTTTGTGCAGGAGGAGTCCACTTTGATGTCTGCAACGGTGCTCCAGAATTACAGCTTGTTTCTAGATGTTACGGTTTTGAAGATAGATCACCTTATAAGACCAAACCCCTAGTGTCAGCTGTAAAGACACAGGTCCTCGAGCCTAAGCGTGCTTAAGATGCTGAAAAATTCACTTTTTGTCCCGATATAGTGTTAATTCCAGTACCTAAACGCATCAATATGCATTAAGTAATTCACTGCTGTGAAGTTTAGGAGAAACATCTAGTTAATGCATTTAGCCCACAACCTCCAACTGCCTCCCATGCCCCCCGGGGAATCTCTTTTCTAGACGCCTATCCTACAGCATCCCCACTGACAACTCCTACTCAGCTATGCACTGCCAATAGAAACAGCTGTGACAGTTCCAAACTGAAAATGGGACTTGTGCAAATGAAATTCAGTGTAGCAGCAAAAGAAATAACCATGGGGTTGCTCCACCGATTTTTCCACCCTTTGGTCCCTGCTCATCCGGATCATTCATTTTTTGGCATCCAAGAAGATGCTGTTGAACTTCCAGGATGCTGCAAACCCACCGAAACTTGCCTCATCCCATGCCCAGTGTGCTGGGTCTTGCTTATAGGGATAAACCCAGGTGAGACATGGAGCTGAAGCAAGAGCTGATGGCAGAGAAGACCCTTCCACTAGCTACAACACACATACCCTCACCATGGGTTAAGTTTAAAGGACCTTGGTTACTGGTCAGGGCAAAACAAGCCATCTTCCGGAATTAGGCTGATTTCGGCTGAAAGCCTTTTCTTAAAAATAATCTTCCTTTTGGATCTCCAGGACCAGGGGAATAAACAGCCTAAAATCCAAGGCTGAGCTATTGTTTTCCAATCTGTTTTAGCCTTCATCTTGTTGGCAGGCTGCTTTAGAAAAGCAAAAGGTTAATGAGCCAATGTGCAGTGGGATTATTGCAGTAAAGATGACAGTGAACCAGTAATTACTAATTAGATGCAGTTTAACAGGAGGAACAAGTGAAATCTCCTCTTCACCAACTGTCAATAATTAGCAGATTTGGTGAGGTTGAAATGTGTCCACAGTTAAAAGGCTGATTTTTTAATGAAATGGCACTTGACAAAAGAGCTGTATGGAGGTCACAGCCATAGCCCTCGAGA